CGCCAGAATCACTCTGTGGACTGGGAAGACGCCGCCGTCCTCCGACCTCAACACCGCGTCAGAAAAGAGGTTGCTCTCTCTCAGTTTATTCAGACGGACCAATGCTTTGGTGCATGTGCACCTGTCGCCATCTTGAGAACAGCTGTGACTTTGGTTTGACTCCATCTCCTGAAAAACAGTCGATCGCTGTTACAGATTTTTCTTTATACCGACGCGTGTGCACATCGACTGGGAGTGACTGAGAGGAAACACGGTACTGAGAAGAATATCTGGTCCTGCGAGAGAGTTACTGACAAGGGAATGGCGAAAATTGCATTGGAGCTTTATCAGCCCCTGCACTAATTAATAAATTGTAGGCTGTCAGATCAGGGTGTAGTACACATGGCAGATACAAGAAGACCTGAAAGGAAGAGGTCACTTGAGAGTCCAATGCGTTGCTGGGATAATATTAAAATGGATCTTTGAGAGGTGGGGGTGAAGGTGTGCCCTGACTTCATCTGCTTGTGGATATGGCTTAGAGGTGGAGTCTTGTAAACACGAACATGAAATTTAATGTTTCATAAATGGCGAGGCACTTGATTACATGGGCTACTGTTATATTCTCAAGCAGGGCTTCGGTTCCATGAACTCAGTTTGTTTCTTTGTTATAGAAATGTCTGTTGAGATTCAATACAAAATGACAAAGCTGTAAATGTGACTAATCTAACTAACTAGACGGCTTACGGAACCCGAAGGTTCATCACCGAACTAACCAAAGCCCTCCACCAGACCCTGTCCTGGGCCAACAAAATCCAGTCTCCTTCAACTCCAGTCTCCCATAGATCCCGCCTGAGATTATCCTCCCATCTACGTCTTGGTCTCCCCAGCGACCTCTTCTCCTCAGGCTTCCCAACCAATAACCGGTGCACACCTTTTGTCCCATCCATGCATTCCACATGCCCCGCCCATCTCACTCTTCTTGGTTTAATCACCCTGAAGATGTGACTGATTTAGACAATATTAAGTTATTTCATCTTCTTATATGTAATCTACGTAGACATTACGTATAAAATATCAATGTAATCTATAAAGTCTTAGATGCCTCTACTCTGGTGAATCGATTTAAAAAAAATTACGACAGAAATATGCCATAGAAAGTATGTGACTTTCGATGCAGAACTAGACAGTTAACAAATCAATGTTGGAAAAAGAAGGCTACGCCTTTTCATAAGCATAAAATTTTCGAGTTCTTCTCTCTCTGTAGAACTAAAAGTGCTTAAGAGCTTACGTGATTAAGGAATTTAAGTTCGCTACATCGAGGCCCATCTCCATCTTAATGTTATCCTCCCACTCACGCCGAGGACTTCCCAGAGTTCTCCTCCCTTCAGGCCTTGTAAACACTCAACTCACCCTAACAACATCGGGTGTGGAGCTCGTCATGCATTTTCTCTATTATCTGTCCCACTCCCGTTTTGGGTCCAAATATCTTCCTCAACACTCTATTGTCAGAGGCCCTCAGTCTATGTTCCTCCCTCAAAGTGAAAGACCACGTTTTGCGACCGTACGGCACAACTGGCAAATTTACGCTTTGGTTCATTTTAATCTAAATTTTCTGAGAAAAATTGTGGAATCCTTTGCCTCTGTTACAACTGCCTTTGCTAAGTATGACTTTTTTGTTCCTTTGGGGCTGAAAAAAGGGTAATGTGATAAAAGTTTGCCATGACAAAAACTGCACAAACTTTCTAGTATTTGTAAACTATACAAAGAATGTAAATATGCCAGAATGTGTAGCAAATCCAACAAACTACAATACCAAAAATACTGTATACCATACTGGAGAACATTTATGTTCCAATTGCATTCTTTGCTATTTTGCATACATAACTGGCTGTAAAGTTCATTTATCGTAGTCTCATGTTTGTATCAAAATTTGCAGTAGATGGTCACATTTCATTAAGTGTGTTATCTAATAAAGTGTACACAATATGTCATGCCATGGAAACTGCTAACATGACAACCCCCTACTGCTGTTTGTAGAAAGAGTCCTTCGTCAAGAGTGGAGTATATAATGAATTCTTCAGATAAGATGTTCAACTGTTTGAGTATGATCATTGCTGTCCATAATGTTATAGGATTATAACAAATCAACCCAATGAAAGAATTACATAAATGTACCTCTGCATACTATTCTGTTTATTCATTCGGGGCTGGTTTGTTGTGAAAAAAAGTGACAACAAAGTCCTTATGCCGTGAAAGCATCTTTAAAGTCTTACCCCAAAACCTAATATTCCTTTCGAAGGTTTTCGTTTTCCAGGGAACACGTGTGGAAACTTTATGGGGAAAATGACACTCTGCTTCGAAACTTTCTTAGCTCCTTCCACCCCAGCCACATCTGACCCCTTCACACAAGGCTTCTCTACCATTATGGCTTTTTCCAGCTCGGTCTGTAACTTCTTTTCGTAATTATTCCTGCAGAAAGAAAATCAATAAGTTATAAGAGAGAAAGGACATTTCTTCTGTGCAAATACTTGTACAGAGGATCTTGTGTTCTGCTGACCAGAATCAAAATACCCGCACAACTGCAAAACTTATACATGAATATTACAGTCTTGTATCCAGAAATATGAATACACTGATAATTAAAACAAAAGGTTTCGCCTACTTTGAACAACTTTCTCCAGCCTTCAGTTTCGCCGCTCCATCCAAACGCTTATTCCTCTGAGTCCTGTTGCCCTCCTTTGGTCTCGCCCCTTGAGCTTCATCTGCAACATTTACGTTGGACTCCTGCATATTATTGTTTGCATCAGTTGTGAGTTTTGCCTTAAAATCCTCCTAAGCCCTAATCGCTATGCCACAGTACAGTTAAAGTTGCCTCTGTGCACAAGCATACAGGGCCTTGGAGGTCAAGATCCATACATTCTAGACCTGGACAGTAAACAGCGGTGAGTAGTCAGCTTCATGGTGCAGCCACTTTACTTTCAGGATCCATTGGACAGGGCAGATTCAGAGAGAGAGAGAAAAAAAAAATTCTAGTCCCTGTCAACGCTCTGACTGGAATGTTTTCAACCTGCACAATAGTCTTATTAAAAATTACTGAGTATTTACAATGTGACTCGAAATAACCAAAAGCTCAAACACAAACCAACTCTGCTGAAAGGAAATTAAAAAGAGCCATCGAGGAGAAGTGAGAGGCAGAGGCAATGAGGCATTTACGAACCATATCCACCAATGATACTATTCTAACAAAATCGAACTGAACGTAGAGTAAGAATTGTGATTAAGATGAACCATAGTGGACAGCCGAAGTTAAAACATCCATTAATCAGGACATTTCTTCTACCTATTTTTCTGGATGTTATAACCATCACTATGACCAAAAAGTATGAGTAACCAGTTCGGCTGGCTATAAAATACGCACAACATAAAAGGATGAGGGAGGGGGACCTTGATACGTAGAGCATTTATTCTAATTATGCTATTCCCACAATTTGCTACCCAGGATAGCTCAGTCAGTATAGTGACTAGCTACGGGCTGGACGACCGGGGTTCGATCCCCGACGGGGGCAGAGGATTTTTTCCTCTAGCCTCTGCGTCCAGACCGGCTCTGGGGCCCACTCAGCCTCCTATCCAATGGGTACCGGGGTCCTTTCCCGGGGGTAAAGCCGGCCGGGGCGTGATGCTGACCACTCACCCCCCCATCTAGTGCCGAGGTCAAGGAAGAGAGGAGCTATACCTCCACTCCCCCCAAACGCCTACATGGCGTGTAGCGGGGCAAACTTTACATTACTTTTTTACAGTATGCTACCTTTAATCCCATCCAGTGGACTCAATATGAAGCCTCGTAAAGTGCACGAACTACAAGACGCTTTTCCACTCACACATCTGACTGCTGATTAATCTCAGAATTCTGATCTACATTGAGTCCCATAAATTTCTTTTGGGTTTTAAAAATACTTATACATTTTAAGACTGTCTCAAAACTTTATATTAATAAACTGCAAATTTGTCTCAACATACATTTCTTTGAATCCAGAAGGCATTGTATAGCATCTTCATACAGTCTCTTTGCCTCCGTACACTTCTGTCTTGCCTCCCTTGCACACCTTCGTGCTTTCTGCAGAAAAACAATCTCTGGTAAACATTTTCTAAACTGTACAACGATGAATAATAACCACTCACAGAAATTAACATATAAGAGACAATCTTTTAGGCAAACAAGAGTTATACATACAATGCCCCTTTATAACAGCGTTAGTTCAACATATCAGATCTACACGTGGCTTCGTAGTGGCTGAAACTCTGGCACACCCAACCAAGTTGGGTTGTAGTTAAAACAACAGCATACCTTTTGCCTAAAGTTGTCAGCAATTAATCAGATACATTCTCTTGTGCATAATTAACCTTTTAAAGACAGTTCTGATCCAATTATCATGTTTGTCATCTAGTAGCTAAACAAAGAAGATAGGTCAGGTAAACTAGCTGAATGTACTTCCACCACAAAATTAATTTAACCCTTTCCATGTAAATAAAATTGTGAGGATAGCTGTGAACAAGTTCTTAACAAAGTGTTCATCGAGTGTCTCAAATCCCACTACATTCAATTGGCTTCAGACAAGGTCCAATTCACGTAACGAACTTTTGCTTTCCACAAAGAACGGGGAATGTTTTACCAGCCAAGGAGCCGTCAGTTCCTCATGAAAACCCCTGCACTACAGAATGAAACAGTTCCACATTAATGTGAAATGAAAGTCACATTCGAAGTACATCCACTCCATTCATAAACTTGTATACTGAATTTTATTTAGCCTTTACTTAAAAATCAAACAAAATGTTACCTGCAATGGAGTTTCTTCTGCCATTCCAGCACAATTAAGCCAGAAAGTTCTAAAAATAATCAAGAAAGCAAAAATTAATTTATATTAGCACGTAAAATTGCCTGTTACATAACATAATATTTAGTACTAAAATAAACCTTGGTAGTGATCGAACATGGCGGGACAGCGATACGAAATTAAAAGACATTAGGACTTCCTCTTGAGATGGAAAACCATGACTGATATATAGCGCATAAATTCTAAACCCCAAATACTGCATGAAGACAAGTGGACAGTTTCATATTTCATGTCACTTTACCCCAAGACGCAATTATGAAATCTTTTTGAGAACCCCATCAGAAGAAAGACAGAGCATGAAAAATGACCACGTGGCATGTTAGAATGTGAAACTCCACACAGTGAACTCGTGTTTATCTTCAGACACTGAAAACAGTCTTCGATTTCCATGTGAACAAGAGCAGTATTACCATTAGAGTGTAATCAATCACAAGCAACGGCCAAGACTCTGCTCAAGGTAAAGATAACGCCTGTACTCCAATGGAACATATGGGACCACCTTACAGAAAGAAAGTAACTTGGAAATGTGGGAAGGCACAAAAGCATAATAATGAAAAAAGGCACTCCTCATGGAGGAATCTGACACCGGCTTATAGTGCCATCTAACTAACTAACTAACTAGAAGATTCATCACCGAATTAACAAAAG